AAAACTAATTTTCATTCCCACTTAGCACATTTGTAACAGAAGGACCAAAGACAGTATTTTATTTTATTAGATCTCAAGAGTAATACCTCTATGTATATTTGCACTATCTTAGATCTTATCTGTAAATGAAAATTCTCAAATAAATATATTCTTAATCTGAATAGTTTCTTTTGTAAATATACAATATTTTTTTTTTAGTATTTAGTACAGCATCTACAGGGCTTACAGGGTCTCAGTACACAGATCGGACTTGTAGTGATTCTCCTGTTTTCAGCCTCCCAAGCGCTGGGATTACAAGTGTGTGCACCACACCCAGTCTCAATCACTCTGTCAGTGTGCCCTGGGAGTAGGGTCAGCGTGGCAGCCTGGGGTTCAAATCTCTGACCCCTGTATCTGCTTAAGCAGGTGCTTTAATCCGCTGAGCTATCTGGCTGGCCCTTAGAATAATTTTTAAAGTTTGTCTATGAGCACACAGGAAGGTTCAGTACATAGTTTTCTTGTCTCATTAAATTAGTTGTTAAATTTTAAATCCTTATGGAAACATAGAAAAGAAAATAGTTAATATCAGGAAATATAAATCTATTAAGTATACTCTCTACTCCTGTGATTAAAATGATATAGAGATTTTCTAAAACGTTATGAATAAGTCTCAGAGCTCGTATTCAAAAGAGAAAAGAACTCAAATTCTCTGAGTACAAAAGGTGGGGGAAGGAAAGAGGAAAATGTCAATTAATAACCTGTTTTCTAGCAGGTTGAGTCATATTTCCCTATGTCAAAACCTATGAGTGAAATCCATTTATTGCAACCTGAAAATCTAGTGGGAAGATTTGGCCTCAAAGGACCATTCTTGCTCTGCAGATTAGCTTTGGTGAAAACAACACATCATTAATCTTTGGCGAAGAAATCCACTAAAGTGCTGTCTATAACTTGAGGTGTCATAACCAAAGGATTCATGTAAGAAGCTTTATTGTTTGGGATCATGTAGTTATGGGAATCAGAAATCACAGAACAATTACAATTCAGTTTACCCAGAAAAGCTATGAAAATGACAAGGTATAAAAACATTTAACAATCGTTAAAGAGATTAGTTGGACACAGAACCATTAAGAATTTTAAGGAGTAGAAGCAATGGAGGCCATGGTGTATGTTGTGACTCTGCTTCTGAGTGGTGTTTGAGGAGGCTGGATCTCCATGTCCTGGAACTTAGGCCAGTAGATTGCTCAGTACTGAAAACTGGTTCTCTCTAGGGCAGAACTTAGAGTTGTGTTTGCTTCTCTAACACTTGGATATATTCAAGAAAATATACTTAAAGAGTGCATATCTTCCTAACTCACAGCTACATGGGGTTAGCACAGGCTTAAGGATTCACCTAACAGGGAAACCTTGGGAGTAGAGTATTAAGGTTAAAAACAACAAAATCCATTAATCTGCTGCACATGGCGAGAATCTAGGAGAGCAAAGCCATAAACTGGGGGAAGAGTGAAAAAAATCTGATTCATTATCCATTTCCCCTCACTGAAAGAAGAAAGACAGAGAGAGAGAGAGAGAGAGAGAGAGA